TTCATTTGATTTCTCCCTGCAATTCTCGGCACAATGTGTTCTTTAGTCTGGATTTTTATTTTCTGTGGAATGGAGTTGTTAACACCATACCTTCCTTTATTCGACCTTGGGATAGGACGTAACCCTAGAAGGGTTACAGGTGGAGTGATTATATAAAACTGTAGTTCTTCAACAGTGTATTCGCTATCAACAATTAATGTATTCAAATGAAAGTTTATAATTACTTCAACATAGAGAATAAAAAATAGATAGAATTATTTATCGCGAGATGCTTCTTAAAGTTCCTTTTTAATCTTCTCTCTTGTCGCTGTGCTTGTCTGGCAACTTTGAAAGATACCCATCCATGTAATCTAAATTGATTATATCTGTTCATTATATATTCATTACATGTTATAATTATTAGTTTAATTATTTTTATTATTTATTTTAACGCATAGATATTGGTACAAGGAGGCACCAAATACATATGTGCCACACAGGTCTCATTTGATATGTGTAAGGGCCGTGACACTGCCCGGATGCCCAAACCGAAGTAGGTGGTCTTATTAGGGGGCCACACCCGGGGCCTTCAACCTGAAGGTCTGATCCACAAGGCAGTGGAGCAACGTCAGGAGATGCATTCCCATGATAGCCGGTAACCAACGATTGGTTAATACGCCATTTGTTTCTTCAGGATACTGGAGTCCATGTGCACCATTGGTTTGGAATCCGGTTAAAGCGCCGGACATTCGCTTTTCGTCCTCTTATTTTCATAAACAACACTCCCGCCACGAGAAGGCAGTGAGTAGGACTTCCCTGGCAGAGGCTATATACGCGTGGCCGTGTGAGAGTATTTCGAGAGGGAGAGCGGACTCTCCCCACTCTCGGCCGTACCAGGGCATTGTTCTTAGTCTTGACTATAACAGTTTCATTTCCATTGAATCAAATGCAAAATGTTCTCAAATCATTCAGAAGTGTAAATAAACGATGATTCCGCATTCAAAATGCCAATAAAAGATATTTACCTTTTATCTTGATGAATATTTCTCTCTTATATTATTGTAACCTGTTCATAATCTATTCTAACAGTATAGTTATCTCTTTCTGAAGAATTTTACTCACGTACAAAACTAATACAAAAATTATTATGCATTTGACCTTATAATCACTACAATGAACAATAATTTACCGTGAATCAATACTAATGTGTATACAATATGTGATTTAATCATGGATGTTTGAACTAAAGTGTAATATAATGAATTCTGTTATAAATTCCAATGCTGTACATTGAAACATAGAGAGATAGCACAGTAAATAGAGTTCTTGTCTATTAACCACTAGGTTACAACTCTAATCTACCTATTTCAGTTTTGGAAACTTGATAATCTCAATAGAGTTTGCACTTCAAGTATAGTCACAAAGCCTGACACACGATTTTGTATTGATTATATGAGTAACATCCAAATATGTAACAGAAACAAAACTATACTAATAGTAATATAAATTTACTAGTTAAAGACTAAAGAAACACATAACAGAAATTTGAATAGTTAAAACCATGAGTCAATTGAAGCTAGACCACCATGGAAAAGCTGGAAGCACTAAAAATCTCTACAAAACCATTTCTGATAATAATCATCGGCTCACTAGTGACTGGCTTCAAGAGATATATCCTGGAGTAATAGTGAGAAACCGTGACTAGTGAAGTTTAACCAGGTCTGTTGTAAGATATCATCTCACTGAAGACAATGGTGTACGGTGGCGTAACTTCGTGGATTGGTTGAAGTTAGACGCGTTTGCGCGCGAGACTGATAGGTCCTGGGTTCGAATCTGGCAGGACGCGGGATCGTGGATGCGCACTGCTGAGCAGTCCCATACTAGGACGAAACAACCGTCCAGTGCTTCCAGGTTTTCCATGGCGGTCTAGCTTCAATTGACTCATGATTTCAACTATTGAAATTGTTAAAAATCTCCAAAAAACCCCTTCAGAACATAACAGAAATGCTAAAAAATTGCATCCGTGTTACAGATTTTTCTTAGAAAACAGTATCAAATCTCCAAGTTATTATGTTGACTCTTTTTTATAGTCAATTAAGAAAATCTACAGTTAACGTGATAGTTAAAAAAGACTTACTGATTTTTTCCACAAGTTGATTTCTCACCTTCATAAGATAGGTGTTAGTCTTCACTGTTTAGTATATTTTAAACACAACAAATCTACCAAAATCAGGATCAATATTGGTTAGGAACAGATATCTCAATAAAATCGAGTAGCGGAATTTAGTGTTGCTATGACGCATGATGTCCACATGAGCTAGGAATCTGCATCTCAACAACTGACACTCATACGTACTTCCTATACGAAAATTGTCAACTGGTTACTCAATGGGGAGACTCAGAGTGAAAGTTTATTAGGCTAATCCGGTTCACATGCATGAACACTCATTTATATATTATTGATCAACACTATCTCTACATCCGGTTGCGCATCAGTGCTTGGAGTCATTAACCTCTAGTCTGAGTCATGTTGGGAGATGCAGACTACTTGGTTGGGGTCAGCGTGACTATTGTAACCAATGGTTGGAGACTCTGGGTGATATGGCTTAGAATCAATCACAATGGCGTAGGTGTACACACTCTTTGTCTTCCCTCAACCTATGAGATTCAAATCCCTTGATATATTTCTTTCTAGGAACGAATTCTTTCTTTCTGAACTACAGTCCTATATGAAATCTGTCTTTTATATATTACAACCACTGAATTAAATACTTATATGAATCTGGTGTTCATCTTGCTGTGCTAATGAGGTATAGCAGCTTAGACCGATGCATATATGTGCCTGGTCCTACGTTGTAGCTGACTGACTCTTAATCATGAAACAAACTTTAACGTAATAGTATTACATTTTATGAACAAACTAATGAAACAGGATCTCATAGATTTTCGAATGAAATCCATTTAGCCGAATCTTCACAGAACATTTCTTTTATTGTAATTGATAATGTTAATTTGTAATGAAGATCTTAACACCTAAACAGTTAATTGTAATCTTCAGTTAGTCAGCTACAACGTAGGATCAGGCACATATATGCATCGGTCCAAGTTTACCATAGCTCATTAACACAACAACAAGATGAACACCGGATTCATAAAAGTAGTTAATTCAAAGGTGGTAATATATATATAAAAGAAAAATTGCAATAATTGTAATCTTAATTAGGAACAAATATGAGAACTTTTAAGATATTCAACATAAAGGATAATGTATATTCCATTTGGGGAATTTTTATATGTCACTATCATTTTTATTTGCAGAAAGATTCATGATATAAAATCTGTTTAGATTTTTTATAATATGATTGTTTTCATTCCAATAAAACAAAGAGTGATTGTTTTTGATTGACTAAAGAAACTATGTACTACTCTTACCACCGACTTGAGTATTACGCCATTGAGGAATACTGGGAATTCATCAATACAAAACATAACACATGTATAATGAGAACCAAAAACAAACAAACAAACCAACTACATATATATATAAAATTGTATAAAAACAAATTGATGCATTTCATATAAATAGTAGTATAGAAAACAAAAGGCACTAAAGGTATATATTAGCAGAGATTACAATAATATTAGTAAAGACAGATGGAGGAGGGGAACGAGAGGAAAGAAACTAATATGAATCGTTGACAAACTATATAGTTCAGCCTTGTTATAAATAAAACAAATCAGCATATATCTATATAGATAGATGGATAGAAAGACAAAATAGTTTTCATGTAGAGAAAACAAAAGTAACAAGAAAATCACATACAGAGTAAAAGTCATGGTTATTTTGTTGAGAACAAAAAACAACAACAAAGAATGAAGATTATACAGAAATAATATAACTGGCAAGATTCATTTACTGCAATGTCGTTATCATCACCGGATAACCACCAACGATAAGTGTGTATAGATGGTTGTTTTTTAGGCACTATTTTATTTGTTGTATACATGTGAAGATTCATCTATTGATACAGTTAATTGCCATGACAAATAATGTTAAAATAGGTGAGTGTATGGAATGAAACCTCTAACTTTTATATTCAATTGAATAATTGAAAATTGATCCCTGTTTAGCTATTCAACGTAATGTTTAACAAAATGGGATTATTAAGAAAAACAAAATAGTTGTAACCATTTCTCAATATATATATATCCTTGTTAATAGGCAGAAATGATGAGCAATCATAGGAATGTGTTTCGTCTCGATAGAAAGAAAACGATGGTGGTATACAGTGTGAAACGAACAAGTGAATTGAAGTTATCAAATAATAATCCGAGAAAAAAAAGGAATATAACAGGTATGTTGTGCTTTACGTTTCACTTTTTTTATTATGTCTTTCAGTTTTTTCATCAACTTTCATATACTGCTTAATCAAGATATTCGTTCCATATCAATGAAGAGAATGAAACAACAACAATAACAAAATATCACCAACTGGAAGGAATGTGACAAAAAGTTTTTTTTTCAACAAAAAAAAAGAGTACCGAACAAGCAAGCAAGAGCGCACAAGAGAGAGAGAACACTCCCCCTCGCGGATGGCGTATCAATTAAAATCAACAAGATATTCAAAGTAATCAAAGAGAAAAAAATAGGAAGCCGGGGGTGGGGAAGATAGCAACAAAAATATAGATACTTATATATGATAACATTAGAAAATAACATGGAAAAAGTATATAATATTTGTATATATAAAATAAAGTATTCATGATTATTATTATTATTATTTCGAAATATCGTTGTAATTATTCGTCGATATTCAATTAATGAATGAATTAATTAATGAATATCTATCATTGATATTATAAACAATTAAGAAAATTTCTATATTTTCCAAAAAAAAATATAATAAAATATCAAAGTGAATAGAGTAAAGAATAATAATAGAAATTAACGTTGTGAAAGAATGTTTCTTTTTAATTTTTCTTCTCTTATAATCAATAAATCGATTGATTGATTGAAAATATTAACCTGTACGCATTGTTCGACCCCTGACAGAGAGAGAGAGAGAAAAAAAAGGAAGAATTTGAATGTGAATTCATCACTAGAAATTATATGGTATTGTTTGTTTGAATGTTCCCATTGATGTTTAGGACTGCAATTGATCAGTCTCTTATTGACATATATGCATATTGCCTCATTAAGGCTATATCAAGGCAATACGCGCCCCCAAAATGCCCTGGTATGGCCGAGAGTGGGGTGGGCCCACCCTCCCTCTCGAAATGCTCTCACACGGCCACGCGTATACAGCCTCTGTCAGGGAAGTCCTACTCACTGCCTTCTCGCACCACCAGTGTTGTTTACGAAAATGAGAGGACGAAAAGCGAATATCCGGCGCTTTAACCGGATTCCAAACCAATGGTGCACATGGGCTCCAGTATCCTGAAGGAACAAATGACGTATGAACCAATTGTTGGTCACCGGCTTCCATGGGACTGCATCTCCTCATGATGCTCCACTACCTTGTGGGTCAAACCTTTAGGTCAATGGCTCCGGGTGTGGCTCCCTAAGAAGACCACCTTTTTCAGTCTGGGCACCCGGGTAGTATCACAGCCCTCACACAAATCGAATGACTTATGTGGCGTATATCTACTTGATGCCTCCTTGTACCAATGTTTATGCGTTTAAATAAATAGATAAATAAGGCAATAAGCACAGTATGCACATATACCAATAAGAGACTGATCAATGGGTAGATTCAAACGAACAATACAAAAATGAACTATATATATATATATATATATATATATATATATATATATATATATATATATATATATATATATATATATATATATATCAGTGAAGGTTTGAGTTTTCCCTTTATTAGTCAGTCTTTATTGATAATATACGCACATTCAGAGCGGACTGCCTAGATATTGACATTTATGCATAAGTTGAATATTGGTTGATAGTGAAATTCAACGCTCATGGTTCATCCTATATAGAACACTTCAGATGAGTGTATTTGCATTTCAGTGCTGATATCTACACTGGATCCACTTGTTTTTGTTTCAAAAAAAGGTAAAAACGAACTCTTACAAATGAACTTTATACTTGTTATATAAAACAATGACTACTAACTGGACTTAATAGCTCAATGGATAGTGCATTGACATTAGAAGTAAGACGTACTAGGCTCGAGTTCTGAAATGTACACAAAAACTTGGATATGGCATGTATATCCAGATGGCAAGTCTCAACTAGATCTAAACGTGAGTTCTGAACTGCAATGTTAACCACTATCCAAATTTAAGAAAAATACACATATACAAGGAAAAATATGATAATTATTCTACCCTTCATTCACCATCACAACTAACTAACCCTAGAAATTGGATGTTCAGAATGCTGAGATTGGACATAGAAATATATTTTGTTAAACTAATTAACTATATCACATCAGAACAATTAAATCAAGAATTCTCTTAACGATTATTATGCATACCACTTCAATGTTAATCAATAAACACTAATAATAGTAATAATGGTAATGATAACAATAATGATAATAATAATAACAATTGGTTGCTTAATTGATAAATACACACATAAATGGTGAATTCCTTCAGTATTAAACAGTCAAATAAAGTACATTTCAAAGTTTTCTAGCATTTAACTACTAATCAGCTATTCCACTATTTTATGCTTAAATTTAAATCAAAATGAAACTTAGCACAAAAAATGAAGTTACTCAGGTGATTGGAAGTAGGCTGCAACAAAAAACCTGGTTTTGTACTAGTTCAAATTTATCACACTAAAACGTGTCTACACGTTTGAGAGATTTGATGCTTCCTATAGGGTTCGGATATTTACCACCCAGATTCATAATCTCGAGAGTTATAACTAAGCTATTCCGGTTGTGACTGATCTCCTTTAGGACTAAGGTATTTACAATCGATTGATCACTCTGAGTATTGACAAACCTAACACTTATTTACTATTTTAGTGTTGCTCAAATCCTATAGATCAAGTACTCAGGAATGACCTTGGTGTTGAATAGTGTGAAAAACCACTAAAAAGATATGAAATATTGCTAGATAACTGTTTCGTTTTTAAATTACACACAATTAAACAATATGTGAAACCTAGATGAGAGCATATAATGCAAAACCTTTTATGTTTTTATTCAAAGAATACAAAAACCGACCAGTCACTTGGTCGCAATTGAATGTGATCTCATTCAATTCATTATGTAAATACATACGTAAACAATACATAGTCTAGCACAACTATATAAATATTCAAGCTTAAGAAGTCACCACATCACATCAACACAGAAAGGGATGAATCAGAAAAAGGAAAACTATAAAAAAGCGGAAAACTAATATCAGTACAGTGATGATGGATCCATATTGCACAAAACCTTCAAATATTGAGTAAGAGTTACTTCAGAACTCCGTAGAACCAAGAAACTTGAACATTTACTTACACCGTATTCACACTAACGGTCAATTGCTTCATGGTTCAATCCTATGTCTCAACCTAGTGGCCATGCTAAACCATTAGTCCTGACTCTCCCTACCTCCTTGTCTTATATCCTAAGAAGTATAGACAACTGAGTTATAAATGATTAAGTATATAGAATTTCTCAAACAACTCAGTAAATAAAGTAACTATGTGTGACGTAACTTATTTATTTACCAAATATAATTGTTTATGTAGTTGACATTAAGCTACGATGTTTGTACAATGGCTAATTGACATTAGAATTGACTATCAGAATCAAATGAGGTGAAAATGAGTTCGAAGCTTTGAATACCTATTGGCGTTTAAAGTCAAATACTTCAACCATAACTACACCACTGAGCTACTACTAATCGATGAAGAGTCACAACCTCATTCATAGAGACATCTTTGTTAGTATTTTAGAGACCTAACAACAACGAAAAAACTAATCTAGCACTTAGACAAACACATAGACACAAACAAAGACAAAAAACATAATAACATACATATTATCACTTTGAATACCACCGACTTTGTTCACTGATGGTGAAATAGGCGTGGGTTCACCAGAAACAGTCGTAATATTAGTATTAATCACAGTATTTGTTGGATGTTCAATATGGGCACGGTTGAGTACTTTCAAGAACTCGACTGTTTTAGCACGCATACGCATTTGCATATAAGCTTTGGAACATTTAATATGGTAGTGTAAATAGTTTCTTAATGTTTGTATTAGATCGATGGTAGAATTACGCGCAGATTCAGTGGATAAATGACGCGGAAAAAGCACTAGGATTTAGAAATACATAACAGGAAAAGCAAAACTAATGACTATTATCAATATCAAAAATATAGAGAGAAATCATAAAATGGATGCTTTCAAAATTCATGTATAACAGTAAGTATATTACTTTATTTATTTATTTTAACACATAGATATTGGTACAAGGAGGCACCAAATACATATGCGCCACACAAATCTCATTCGATATGTGTGAGGACTGTGATACTGCCCGGGTGCCCAAACCGAGGCAGGTGGTTTTCTTAGGGGACCACACCCCGAGCCTTCGACCTGAAGGTCTGATCCACAAGACAGTGGAGCAAGGTAAGGGGATACAGTCCCATGGAAGCCGGTGACCAACAATTGGTTCATTCGCCATTTGTTCCCGCAGGATACTGGAGCCCATGTGCACCATTGGTTTAGGATCCGGTTAAAGCGCCGGACATTCGCTTTTCGATCTCTTAATTTCGTAAACAACACCCTCGCCACGAGAAGACAGTGAGTAGGATTTCCCCAGCAGAGGCTATATACGTGCGGCCATGTGAAAGCATTTCGAGAGGGTGAGCGGATTCTCTTCACTCTCGGCCGTATTAGGGCATATATAAATATGCATCGAAAGACAGAAAATTTACTATTAACCAGTTTTCAACCAGAATTAATTTCGATTTCTAAAAATTAGTTGTACCTATGAAATGATAATAAAATTTATAGTGAATATTACCTTGAAAAAAAAATACTTACAAACTATGAATTGTTACTAAATTATTGATTTGTAATTAATTCATTTACTAATTATGCACATATAAACAAAATAATACACGTTCAGTATGTACAAATTGTAAAAGGTATACTTTGATGGTGAACTACTACTACTACTAATTATTATTATTATTATTACTACCATCATAATAATCATAAAATTTCATTCAGTTCGTTATAAGAAATGTAGAACCTGATACATAATTACACTGGTTCAAATTTACGCACCATATTAGCACACAAAGAGATAAAATCATTTCAAGACAAATGGCTGTAGTAGAAGTAGGAACAGTATTATTGATAGTAGAAAATATTTAGACAGTTTGACTCGAGATGAAACAATGAATTTTAGGAATAAAAGTTGTAAGGTTGTTTTTAAACTTATGATCAAAAGAGAAGAGTGAATGCATCATTGAACTGTTGTGAATGAGTCTGAACTATGTCACTTAACCTCTTTAACTATTGGTTACTATAATCCCGAGGACACTAACCAGGTACTTTGCAACTAATAACATGCCTTAGTCCAACAGTCAATAGTATCGTGGACCGATAACATGTTCGGTTTGCTATCCCTAAGCTTTTCTCACAGCCTACTCCTTCCTATACCAGTCAACATAGGATAATAATTTATAAAGCAGAATTACAACTAGACTATGAACATAGAAAACAAATAACCTGACCAACTTACCAAAAGTAATGTACGCAACTGAGTCACTGATAACTGCATCAGTTCCCTGTAATTCTTTTGGTGGAACGCGATGAGAATACAATACTTGAGGTGCTCGATCAAGACGTCTTCTTACCTCAGTAAACTCCTGTGATTTACATATTTGAATATAAAAATCAAAACAGTTTAAAAAGCATCCCAATACATAATTCATAAACTGAAGTCAAAAAAGGTCATCTAAGTTTAATTATAAATAGATTGTTACTAGAAATCACCGCCATTTTAATGTTATGTATTGAACCTATTGTATTTCTGGCCAGTAGCTTCAGAAATGGGTCATGATACTAGGTACAGATGTATTATTGGTCAGAATTTGGAAGACTATCCTCATTTATTTATCCTTAAAGACTTAATTAAGTAATTAAAATAACACATCGTGTCACTAAATAAAAATAAAGAGAATTCGCAAAGAAAATTTTTTTTTCGACGAAAACGAGATGTCTAACCTATTATCCTTTCTTCGCCCTAATTCCCTTCTGTAGTATGTCATAGTTGCTTTTTTTAAAAATGAGTGTTTTGTAATTTTAAAACATAATTAGTTATTATTATCCTTTTCTGTCTTCCTATAGGCATATATTTAGACATGCCTGTTATCGCTTGTGGAAGAGTATAGGTCTCCCACCATTACTCTCTATTGAACTATGTTCTGGACAATTCTTTTCAGATACTATTCGTTTTTTGATGTCTGCTTTCAATTTTCGATGCAGTGTGTTCCTTGGTCTTCCGTTTTTCCTTTTCCTTCAGGATTCCAAGTTAGCTCATGCCTCATGAGGCAGTTTGGTGATTTCTGTAATGTATATCCTATCTACCTCCAGCGTCTTAATTCCCTCTTCAGCTGAAAACTGGTTTGTTCTACCCCACAGTAGTCTGTTGCTGATGGTGTATCCGGCCAACAGACATTGGGTACCTTTCATAGACACATATTTACCATACAACTATAAATACGAACATATGACTTAAGTAAACGATTTCGTTTAAAACTTTCTTCGTTGAATTCTATTTATATCGCTAAATGACATAGCTAACACTGATAGCAATGATTCGGTTATAATTAACCTTTACCTTTCTCTGAATTCGCTGGTATAAATTACCTCATACTTTTGATTGTCCAATCTCATGTCACTTTTAAACTACGGTTTTTATGCTTCACTTTTCAATGTAGTTGAGATAGTATTTACCTTCGTACACTAACCTAGTAAATTCCCTTATTCCATAAGTATAGAACAATATTTACCAACTAGATTCCATCTACCAAATACTATTACCACTACATATAACCAATATTACTAAGAATAAAGTTGTTGATGAAATTTTATGTTTAAAAGCTAATTTTCCCCAACATTTTAGTACTAAGTGAAACTAATGAATTGAGAAGAAAAAAATAAATACCAAACACATTTACACATACTTGCATAAAAACTTTTCCAATTAACAAATCGTCTGGATCTTTAAATGTTGTACTAAAGATAACTGTAACTCGATCAGCTAATGCTTGTACATACCTATTGGGAAAAAGATGAACAGTAAATAAATAAATAAAACATGTAACTTTAGTGCATATAACAGTGTTACCCGGAAAAATAAGGGTGGCTCGATTAGTGGTAGAAAAGACTAGGATTATAACCAGTAGATTACATGTTTAAACAGTGAGATTCACCCTCTTTTTTACTTTGGAAAGCTGTCTAGTGTCACTAGCCCTCACACATCCAAGCACAAGTATAACAACTTACACAAGAGTACGGAGTGTCAGGTCAACGAATTTAAGCTAAACACAATTATAACTAAATTTTTTCTGCAAAACAATAAAAGGCTTTGATGATCATAAGCAATTAAGAAAAACACTAGACATACTACCCACTCCCTTAGTTAACAGAAACAGACACATCCAATAGAATAACTTACATTGTCTCATCGTCTCTATAATGTATCACCGCCCTCTTAGAACCCGAATCCACGTTAGATTTAATTTGATATTCGAAAAACTTCTCAAAAACAGCTGCCATACAATTTCTTTTTAAAAGACCACATTTATGAGCTAACTGATTATGATCTGGAGGAAGTCTTTCCAAATCTATGCATAAGGTTACACTCTGATTGGGCTCTGCTGAAGAGAGAAAATCACCATACTCACGAGCCAATACCTTGAGAAAAAACGGTTAAGATTACAACAAAGCATACCATTACTTGTTACAAGACCGATAAATGCTATGCTGAAAATATATAACCTACAAAGGGCTATAATAAATGATGACGATGACGATAGAGGTCTACACAATGACTAGAAAATACTTTTTATGTATTAAGAATTACAAGTGTATAGCACAGTTTGGTGATCTACATGAGTTTCTGCTGATAACCTAAAACTGCAAGCTACTTTGTTGTCACGACGACCTCAACTACGAATCCTGATATGACAAGCCCTTAAATTGACCGAGATTTCAAAAGTATTGTGGAGTCCAATTATATAGCTAGGCTTACAATTCACTCAATTTATTTTGTCACATACAATTTCATTCTCTTTGGCCTTAAGAGTGACGTGGTCAGGACATGTTACAGATGTTTGACTACTGTTTACCACAACGGGCGGTCTGCTAGTGCGGAATTAGGCCGGAAGAAAGTTGCGAGTATCCAAACCAAGATATGGCACTAGTTTATCAGGTCATTGACCGTTGGATTTGCAAAAGAATAGTTTGTTAAGTAATCGAATACTTTTAGAAATCAAACTATCACTAATTTCAAAATCGGCGACACACCGATACGTTAATGACTTTCATGTGCAATACCTGTGAAGAATGAAAAGGTGTCTACAAATATCGACATCATCCCTATTGTGAAGGTTAGTTTCTTAAAATGCTCGTATCCAATAGTATATACAAGCTATTAGTTGTGGACATGAGTCGTTTGTTCATGTGTGTGGCGCACAGATATTTGGTGCATTCTTGTACCAATATTTATGTGTTCAAATAAATAAATAAATAAATAAATAAATTGTTCATGTTAAGTTAGTGGAGGGATCATATGAAGTGATAAGAGGCCCTATCAATAATAATTGCGATTTGCTACGAGTCATTTAAGAGGAAGGCCGATAGTTTCATCGTTTGATTGTAGATCAAACATGGAGAATATATACTTTACTGAGTTGTAGAATTTGCTTTAAATGATGTCGCATATGAGACTAACGAAGATAAAATGATCATACACGGTCTGTCTAATATATATTGTTGAGTGTTCAAAGCAACCAGTCTTTGTGGCTTAATATGTGACGAAATCTCAGCACGGATACAAAAGGCTCGACTAGCTTTTGCGAACTTGCGTCATTTATGGCGTAGGCGAGATATCCGTCTATCAACCAAAGGAAGAGTTTACTGTGCAGCAGTTCGTTCCGTCCTACTTTATGGCAGTGAAACATGGCCGGCAAGAGTAGAGGATATTGGTAGGTTACTAGTATTCAATCATAGGTGCCTTCGAAATATTGCTCGTATATCCAGCGACCACTGAGTAAGTAATGCAGTTGTTAAGAAACGGGTACTAGGTAAGGATAGCAAATCAATTGATGAATTAGTGAAACTTCATCAGTTGAGATGGCTGGGACACGTATTACGTATATCTAACTACCGACTGCCTCGAATTGCCATGTTTTATGGTGTAGGAGTAGGTTGGAAGGAAGATAGGAGCGACAAGGTCAAAACATGGCAAATATCCATGAAGTCACTGACAACTGCACTGAGCCATTTCAGTAGGTGTAAACTACCTGGTTAGGATCGCGAGACAATAGCAACCGATGGTTAGCGACCCTAAATGACATGGCTCAAAACCGTTTGCAATTGTGCAGGTGCGTCCACTCTTTGTATTCTCACAAATCCTAATCTCCTGAATTCTCCTTGTCTCTTTTCTTTATCTCACCAAATTTGTTTCACTGGATTATACTCTTTAAATAACATCTAACCCTAATCTTTCCGATTACTGCTTATACTCTCACTACCTATTCCAATACGGGATTTGAATCAACAACTGCATCTGTGTTAATGTGGTATGGCAACTTGAACCGATGTACGAACGTACGAGATTCTACATTGTTGCTGACTGACTGACTTAAAGCAGACAAAACTTATAGCTTAAATTTTATAAATGATTGTTTTTGATAAATAGTCATGAGACATGTGCAGCACATTTCGTCAATTTTAGAGACAGAGAGCCCCCAAATGCCCTGGTACGGTCGAGAGTGGAGGGAGTCTGTTCTCCCTCTCGAAATGCTCCCAAATGGCCACGCGCATATAGCCTCTGCCAGAGAAGTTCAACTAACTGCCTTCTCGCACCACGGGTGTTGTTTACAAAACTAAGAGGACGGAAAGCGAATGTCCGGCGCTTTAACCGGGTTGGTGGACATGGAGAGTCCACTTAACGGAGTTGGAAAACCCTCATTCCAAACCAATGGTCCACATGGGCTGACTCCAGTATCCTAAAGGAACAAATTGAGTATGAACCAATCGTTGGTCACCGGCTTTCATGGGACTGCATCTTCGTACGATGCTTCATTGCCTTGTGGATCAGATCTTCAGGTCGAAGGCTCGGGGAGTGGTCCCCTAAGAAAATCACCTACTTCGGTTTGGGCACCCGGGCAGTATCACAGCCCTCACACACATCAAATGAGACCTGTGTGGCGCATATGTATTTGGTGCCTCCTTGTACCAATATCTATGTGTTAAAATAATAATAATGATAATAATAATAATAATAATAATAGTAAAAATAAAGAAACAGAGAGGTGTAAACAGTGATCTGAGGTGCTATTTGTTAAGGTCACCGTTTTTGAATTTTCAGAGGAAACAAGAAAGAACAGAATGACAGGTAAACCAAACAAATTTTACACCTTTTAAAATTTGTTCCTGAAGACTATCACACTTCAGCTTACAATACGCATGTCTCAATCTAGCGAAGGGTTTCTTTTTATGCCACTACTCTGTAGACCACTACGTTGTCTAAGAAAATTTATGATCTTTAAATAGTCAGTAAACTGTAACTATACAAAAAGGCAATCGACCATTTAAAATCTGCTTTTCTGCAACCAATATAACAAAGTTGAAGGTGACAAATCACTAACTAATCCTACTATTAATGTAAAGTACGTGTGACTTTCCTACAGAAATTGTCAGACAAATTATGTGACCTCCTTGATAAACTATTATTAAAATCTCAAAGAAATGTCAGATAGATATTATCGGCGGAAACTAATTTCAACGGGATATCCAGCATAACTTCGTATCACTAAACGACTACAAAACCCTTCACCCGATATGAAGAAAAAATACTTTTATTATCGGAATAAGTGGTAAACATATGAAATCAAAGGCAGAAAAATGTATCGCAAAGTCCGAACTCTTAACGAACATTGATAAATCAAGAATGCACAAAAATCAATCATTTTGAACTTATAAACATATAATGTATAGTTTGCAAGTAAGTTACTTACTTCATTCACTCCATGTTCGTTCAATTCATGGAAGAATCTAATATATATACTGACAAGTATCTTTTTCTTGTCATTGTTAGGATTACTTATAGTGTAAACAATACTATCGAAGTCCGCAACGGTGTAATCAATCTTATCATATCTAGATCTAAACGTGTAAAAGCTTTAAGTTGACTGTGATTTTACTCCTCCTTTGCCTGTTCAAATCTGGTGACCAGAATTTCTTCTACAGCTCGGTTACAAACTTCCAAAATGATCATCGGTAGCGATTGCTATAATAATCCCGCTGAGTTTTAATGTAAAATAATTTAAATAGTTCCAATTGTACTTGTATGGAACAAAAGATAAGCTAGTGTTTTTTCCGAACTGATACATATCGCAAACTAAGTTTAGTCCCTGAATATCTAATATTTTTATATGAGCCAGTAAAGTAATGAGCATCTTTGCCTTCTAGCTAATATGCTTCAAACGTTGCATCTCAGAGCTAATTTTTCCTTATGTGATTCAAGTTCAGAAGAAGAGATATCCAAATCCTTTTGACAGTTCCTCAGGAGAACAAATCGACAGGCTAATTAGATGGTACCTTATCCGAGAAATCTAGAATCAGTACTCTGTTCTACTAGTTCTCAGCAGGCGTTAATTCGTGTTCAGAATAAGCTGAAAAATCCCTCTCTAGCCTCCATACAACCTTAAGATCTTTTCCTGTGAGTCTGACAGAGGTGCAGGTTTCATGATATCACCTATTATCTCATTTCTTGGCGTAAATATGAGGCAAAAAGCAGAAATGTTCCACTTATGTCACATTTGTTGACATTTTTGAGTCCCGTCTGAAGGTAAGTCTCCCACTTTACAGTCCGTTATCATCAAACAAGTCCCATGTCAGTTTGCACTAACATCTTCGTGTTACGTCATCGGACGATATACTCACGCAACATTTCAAACTAGAACTTTGAAGTTATCCGTTAGAAAATGGAAGGAAGTATACAGTCTATGACATCTCAGTTAGATTCCTATAGAAACCGTAGTATTAGTTATTATGTTAAGCCCACATATGTTATTCTGGCCTTCGGACAGGCCAATCCACTCATTCTACTTGAGTTATATTTTGATCGTGTTAGTTATTCTCTTGTCAACCTTGAATGTTTTTATATGAGCGTATGAGTGTGTAAGATCTGTTTTGAATGCCTCGTGTGTTTGTGAAAATCCCTCCATGTATATACTTGCACTTTGTTCCTATTGATCCCTTTATTTGTACATTGTTAGTTTTTTGATTACGTTTGGATTGTTAATATTTGTATTTTATCATAGTTTTTATTTTTATTACACCTTCACTAAGTTTTTGTGCTTCCTCCCGAACTGTATCCATGTTGTTTTACTTGACACTTGTTCTTGGCGGCAGCCATATTGATTTGCTCCTCCTTTTGTGTGTGATCTATCCAGTCAGGATAGAATAGAGTTTATTTGTTGTGACCGGTAATTTTCCCACATCTTTTATCAACTTTAATTTATGTAGTTTAGATTTGATTGATTGAACAATTATTGGTTGAGTAGCCGGGTGGTAATATTTGTTTAGGTAACGATTTACATTTAAATTTATGATGAATTATAGAACCGCTATTTACCCGATTACTTGTTTTGATTTTGACGGGCAAGGGCGCGTGTCTAACGTACCTAGACGGCTATTCATCAATCCAAACCGCAGTTTGGATTCTACAGAGTGTACACTTATCCCATTACTCATCACGCATGGGTAACATAGTCTTGTGTAACGATGAATACTTGTTAACGCTTGGCTAAACGGGAGTTGGCTTGACCGCCATTTCCATTGCTCGTCGTTTCGCTTCGCTCAATTCCATTTACTTCATATACAAAATATATGAATTCACAATTCCATGCTCGATAAATGATTTATTATGGTGTTTGATTTGACAAATGATTCCTTTGTAATTGTTGATTGCACGATTTTGAATTCTAAATACAGTACGTTCGTCGGTGCTTATCTAGTACTTCTTGATCCGAATACGTTATTTCTGGGATTCTTAATTCATGCTATAATTCAAATACTCCTAATCATCATATTGGCGTCGCGATGGAGCCTGTGATGGAATTGTTGGATATATATTCAGATTTTTATGCTTTTGAGGATTATTTTGAAAGGTTCGAAATTCGAGCTACAACCAAGGAAGATGATGAGGATGTCAATAGTGTAAGACATTTCCTCACATTCATCGGTAAAGAAGCATACAGCTTATTAAAAACTCTGGCTTTACCGGAAAATCCCATCTCGCTTTCTTATACAACTCTCAAGGATCTACTGCTAGATTATGTTAAGTACACAGATTTAGAATGTGGTAAAGGAGGAAGATTTCGTAAAATGATTCATGTGGATATAAAAAATTCCACTGCATTACATCAACCCAACTCAGTGCATACTCAAGGTTATGCAGACAATTCATTGAGGAGTTGCAGTGCGTTTCACGAAGATTGGCGCAAGTTTGGTCAATGTTTGTCCTGTGGCAAGTTCCACGCTTTTAGTTCATGTAAATTTCGTAATTCTAAGTGCTTTAAATGTGGTGATATTGAACATATTCAGTCAGTCTGTAATACTAATGTTCATCTTATTGTAACTAATATTAAGTCTTGTAATTCTGATTCTACTGAGTCGAGTATTTATAATAATCATTTATCTTTATCAATGATTGCAATAGACAGTGTAGAGTCACAAAGCGGTTAAATCAAATTCAGAATTATTGCGAAACAACAGTTTCTAACCAATCGATTTATCAGAATTCTCGTGCTATTGTACCAGGTATGGCTTTTCCTAATGATTCACATATTTCTGATCAAATTTCTTACAAATCTGAGGAAAATATGCTAAATGAACCTATTCATCATCAAAAACCTGAGGCAGTCATGATAGGTGCTAATTTTTCTAATGATTCATTGCTCTACAATCACATTCTTAATAAGTTTCATGAAAATATTTCAGAAGAATCGAATCCTGATGTCATATTATGTATTGCCTATCCTCACAATGCATTTGCTCCTTGTGAAAAACTTGTTCAATGCGAAGCACGAGTACTAAATGAGCTCGATTTCGATTACAATTCTGATGATTTCATATCAACTGCTGTTCATCCCTATCACAAATCCACTTCCAATGTATACTTTAATCAATGTGAGAAATGAAGCCACATCATTCATAACTTAGGATATAAAGATCCAACATTATTTCGTGGGGGAGGATAGTGTTGAAAAATCTGTGGTTCGAATTCGAGATATTAATGATTTCAGTACAAAACTGACATGCTGATTGTATACAATTCCAGATACTACAAACTTTTTGTCCAATACAATGTCGAACAGATTCAGGATGAACGTACAACCGATTACAGACACTTATACACCTATTTAAGCTGTGGCGGATGTGGTGTTTGAATTGACTAGTTATACCTTTGTACTTGTTGATTGCACGATTTCGAATTCCAAATACAATACATTCGTTTGTGCTTGTGTCTTCCTAATTATATTGCGTTATTTCTTGTACCCTCAGTTCGTGCTATACTTCGTTTGGCCTTGAGGATTCCTAGTGGGGACTTGTCTTTTGACGCAGTTGGGTGATTTCCTTAATGTGTGTCCTATCCACTTCCTGATTTCTTCCTCCACTGGGATCTGGTTTGTTCTCTCCCACAGTAGTTTGTTCCTAATGCCGTCTGGCCAAAGGATCCGAAGTATTTTGTGTAGACAACTGTTAATAAACACCTGTATCTTCTGGATGATGGCCTTCGTAGTTCTACAGGTTTCCGCTCCATACAGTAGAACTGTCTTGACATTTGTATTAAGAATCCTGACCTTAGTGTTGGTTAACAGACAGTTGTTTTGAGTTGCAAATATTCTTCAGTTGTAAATATGCTACTCTTGCTCTGCCAATTGAATTATGTTCTTTTATATTTTAAGGACACCTAGACTAAACACTCTGACTGACGCCAATACTCATTGGACTATCTGTGACTGTTCTAGGCCTGAACTCCACTTTCCTCGTATCCCTTGTAGTGACTCACTTTCATCACGAGAACAAGATTGGTTTAATGAAAACAATTATTATTTTTACCAATTGTACCACTGACCATTTCAATGTGCTCTTTTTTTAATCCTGCTAAAAATATCCATTATTCTTACACTTTGATTGTGACCTCGCGCGAATCTGGTTACGCTCAGTAACCAAGCTTGTATCCTGGCGTGATCTCGGTATTCTTTAGATACCACGAGATCTCCAGCAAATATATTTCGACTTGTCCATTAACTGCCTTCAGATATTTCGCTTCTGGAGGATTTTATGGATTTATTTGGCACGTGTTTCTCTAGCGGTGTTCATAGTCAACCGCGACTCGACGCCACGCTACATCCCAATGAATTTGTGTAAACTGTTTTTAAAGGTTACGGAACTTGTTGGCTAGAATATTGTGAGAGCTGACTAAGTTTCTGGAGTGAACATCAGGTTTTTGACGGGGGTTCTTTTTCATCGACTTATTACGGTGATATCTCACACAGACGTTTCCAAACGAGTTCGATAAATTGTCCTGTCGTGACACATCTAACTCGTGAGAAATACAGATTCCAATTAACCCTGTGTATTTACTTAGGTTCATCTGCTGGGTAACAAATAAACCTACAACGAAATTATGTAAGTGTAATACAAAATGTAAAGTGAATTATGATAATTTGTAGGAACTAAGAATCCCGTAAATAACTCAACTGGATCAAGAAGTACTAGATAACCACGAACGAATATACTGTATGTAGAATTCGAAATCAAGCATTCAAAAAGTACAATGGAATCATTAGTTCATCCGAACACCACAGCTTAAATTGGAGTTTAGGTGTTTGTAATAAATTGTACGTCTTCTTCCCAAATTCATCCTGTGTCTGTCCGACATTGTATTGGATAAAAACTTTATTATCTAGCATGTGCTCATCAGTATCGGAATTAACAACCGAAGTCGGAACAGACTCACATGCTTCCTGGGATTGTGTAATCAGCATGTCGGTTATAGAACGAACAAAGGGTCCAAGAAATAACGCAATAGAATTAGGAAGACACAAGCACAAACGAATGTATTGTATTTGGAATTCGAAATCGTGCAATCAACAAGTACAAAGGTATAACTAGTCAATTCAAACACCACATCCGCCACAGCTTAAATAGGTGTATAAGTGTCTGTAATCGGTTGTACGTTCATCCTGAATCTGTTCGACATTG